TCTTTAAATCGTGTTACGAACGTTAAATTGGTTTCACTTCCTACTCAGAAATCCTATTACAAGCAAACTAGACAATTCGCTAATATACGAAGCCTACTCAAGACCCTATAAAACCTTAAAAAAAACGAAAGGGGCTCTAATAGCTTCGATAATAAAAGGAAGATAGCCAAATGTATATCACAATACTGTTTCTAGCACTATATTTTATTTTATAATCACACATAATCTTATACTCTCAGCTCTTTTCCGAGTCGCCTCCATTTGTCAGTTGTATGTCCACTCACACCTTGCTAAAGCTTATTTTCTTTAACCTATTAAAATGCTCTTTCTTAACAAATACCTTAATAAAAGAAAATTAGACTGAGTAATCATACCTTAAACATTCCTACATGAATATTGGCTACTCTGCCTCTCGTGTTTTCTTTTACTTCCTCCCTCTTTCAGCTCCCTTGAGATATGGAACAGGTTACTTCATCCTGCACCATCCTTAAAGCCTTGGATATCCCAAAGGGACATAAGGTTGCGATTTCTAGAAGCTCATACCTTCAATGGACCTATTCTTGATCGTCAGTCGCACATTCGCAACGCAACTCTCGTGAAGCGCGCCAACTGTAGTACTGATTAAAACAATCTACATTCATGTCTTATAAATTTTCAACCCAGCTATGTAATTTAATACAGTGTATATTGTATCATTTGTATCAATTTGATCTTGCCTGTAAACTGGCATGCCTCATGTAACAAACTGTTATTTGAGAATAAATTATTATTATTATTATTATATAGTTGTACTTTGTTCCTATTGATCTTCTTAGTTGTACATTGTTAACTTTTGGACTACATTTGAATTGTTAATATTTGTATTTTATTATAGTTTTTGTTTTTACCACACCTTCACTAATTCCCCATGTTTCTTCCCGAACTGCACTTATGTTGTTTTACTTTATACTAAGTCTGAGCGGCAGCCATTTTGGTTGGTTCCTGCTTTTGATTGCTTGACCTGTGTTGACTGTAATTGTGCATTTTGGTTGTGAATTGAAGCACTCTTCCAGAATTGAAAATACTCTGTGTTATAGAGCGACCAATTATTACCTTTTGAACGAATCTGTACGTGATCTATCCAGACAGGATAGAATAACATTTATTTGTGGTGATTGGTAATTTTCTTGCATTCTTTATCAACTTTCTTATTTATTGTAGTTTAGATTTGATCAATTAAACAATTATTGGTTGGATAGCTGTGTGGTTATATTTGTTTAGGTAATAATGTATACTTAAATTTATGATACATTATAGAACCGCTATCTTACCCAATTACCTTGTTTTGGTTTCAAACGGGCGAGGGCGCGTATCCAACTTATCCAGGCAGCTGTCCAGCAGTCCAAACGTGGTTTGGATCCTACACAATTGTTCGCTTACATGTGTTGTTCTAATTTTCACAATGGGAATCTTTAATATCCTTTTGTAACTTGTACAACGTAACGTTTTACACTTTTTATAAACGCACCTGAAGAGACTATGTATTGAATTTATATAATGATGTGTCAAAATAAAAAAGTAAAACAGATTACTTATTGAATTATCTAGATGGCACGAACAGGTAGCTCAGATATTCAAGCAGGCTGCCACATCCCCTTCATTGGTTATTTACAATAAAACGTCTATAATGTAGCACGATATTCCCTCGATAATTTTCACCTGACTTAATTGAGCCGCTCATGGTTTTTTGTAAACATTTTTACAGCGGCCGTCTGTACCCATAAATTTGAATAAGCTGACTATGCTTTACCTGTAAGGGAAGGAATGCGGTATGACATGTATAACAAATACTTCTGAACGATATGAGTTTGTTAGAAACCTAGTGCATGTATGAAGTTTTTAAAGTCTTGAACATTTATGATTTAGTAAGAAAGTTGATGTTAGCTACACTGGTTACTGAAGTACGTACAGCAGTCAATGTGCTGGAGTTTTGGGTGTAGATACAGAGCTACAGTTAACTGTAAGTCAGCCGCTTCCTAAGATTTTAAAGCTCTTTGTACTATTCGTAAGTCACCTTGTCATTCAGATGAAAAAGCCTCTAGGGTATTATGTCGACGTCTGTAAGGCAACATTTGAAATATGCAATCTTACTGACCTACCATACGAAGAAAGACTGAAACGCATCGGCCTATGTCCGTCATCATACCTCACATTGGGAGATGATTTAGTACTAGCCCATAGTATACGGAATGATGATTTGCCAATAGTATCTCTTAGCTTTCCCTCCCATCTAGGACTGATAGTAAACGAGGTATTTTAGGAAATTAAAAAAAAACCAAGATCAAGCCGTTTACGTCTGGAGTTTCATTTGCTGTACCGAGTAGTGACTTATCGGAACTTTCTACTTAAACATGCAATATCGGCACTGTCTGTTTTTACATTCAAAGGATTATCCGAACTTCTCAGCATTATTAAGTGAGAGGACTAATACGATTCGCTTAACCTGTTATCTACACCAGCTGGCTGGAGACTTCCGATGTCATTACCATGCGAAATATATGGACTTTGTAGTCTGGATTCGTGTCTACAAATTAAACATTGAAGCAATGCTTTCAACACGGCAACTCTGCAACTAACCAGCGTTATTCTCAATCATCTAGCATTGTAGGAATGTACTAAGTCGAATGAACGTTTAAAGTATTCTAAAAATTTTCAAACGAAATTCATTGACTTCTCTTTAATACATTTTTTTCTAAAATACAAGCAGCCACCAGCAGATCGTAAACTCACAAGGATGAGCTAACGGAGTCTACAACTGAGAGGATGGAATCATTAATTTGCAATTGTTCACTTCAGTATATAACCTTTATATCATATTTCCTGTTTCCTATAACCAGTGATGAATGGACTTGATGTGCCGTAGATTGATTCTGATCTATGAAGAAACGTGGTCAAAATATAACAGTACGCAAGGCAGATAAAGTACCAAGATGACTATATATACTATCAACGGAAGTGACCATGAACGAGTGAGACGGTAAAAAATGTCAACATCCAAAACAAAGTTGAGCATTGAATAGAAAACAGTAATAACAGTTATGTAATAAATGGAGCCTGGAAGTTCATTCTGGAGTTACCACCATAAATATAAAACACTCGACTGGGAAATATGTGTTCCGCACAGTTAATAGAGACAACGTGAAGTGAAATATAAAACTAATAGAATCGTCGGAAAATAATGTAGACTAATACTCTCACATAGTATAGAGTGGTCTTAAAAGGTAATATAACATCATTGTAATATGGAACAACAGACCGATTTCATTAAGGCGGAAACAGGGATGACGTAGGGAGTATTTACTTAAACATCCGGCTGCAACGTGACTTTCAATCAACCAATTAATATTTTCTATTCACAGTTGGTATCAATAAACGATGAGCTCAGATCCCCACAACCTTGTTTTGTTCCTTCGTTGTGTGGTTTGTGCTACTAATATCGACAGATATAAGTAGTATGCAACGTCAAACAAAAGTAAAATGTGTGGCGGCATAAGGTTAAGAAGATCGAAGGGAAGAGAACGAGAACAGAGAATGTTTGGTGTGAAAACGAAAGAACAATGAAGATTGAGACAATTGACTGATATTTTGCAAATGAAGAATTTACTGTATGATTCTCAGATTTTAATAAAATATTCTGTAATTTTGTGTTCAAATACACTCGATTGTCCCCCTTGTGCTTACGTTCATTACGTTAGTTGGCTTTTAAGAGTGTCTAGTCTCTTCTAGAATATGTCATTTAGAGGTGTGGAGACCACATTATTGAGTAACAGGTCCCGTGAGTTGACGACTGGGTGTGTAAACTGATATGCATTGAGGATCTTATTTCTCAGTGGATTTTGCACTCGCCTCATATACCCATAGATCGTGTGATCTGGTAAGAAAAGAAAACGAGTATATTGAAGTTTCAATATCATTTCTTAATATTCTAAACATATAAAGATGACACAGGTATTCGGAGTTAGACAACATCTTTACCCATAACACCTTTATAGTCAAAGTAAACCAACCCAGTCAAATTAAAAGTTAGAAATGAAGGAGTTCGATGTTATATTTGCAAAGCTATGGATATGTCGAGAAGCGTTCGATCTGAGCTGGCTAGCAGTTCAAGATATGAGTATCACGACACACCCACTCGTGATCTGATGCAGATGCGTGACAGAGCGCCTTCAGCTAGATGTTTCCACTGAAGCTAATGTGGTCAGCACCAATGTCGAAGACATACAGAACTTAATTTTTGGGGATTTATTTACTGTTACACATAAAAAACCGAACACTGCTTGCTTGAGGTAGGAAAGAGGAAGTAAGCTTAACTTCTCAAGCAGCTCCGTGTTATTTAATATGAACTTGATTACACATATTAGGTAAAGAGGGGGAAAAAGATATTGTCTTTCATTTATGCTTATGAAAATTATTGAATTTACTTGTCAACATAGCTCTCACAGACATGATATAGTCTCTGAAACAGTGAAATACCTGACGCCATTCGTAGATGATACTGAACCTAGTTCTAAGAAGTTTTCAGTAGTAAAGAATAAAAGAATCAAGAAACATACTGATTTGAAATTAAGGAAAGAAACAATATCCAGCCAACCTTTATGGTCAGTGGTGAACAAACATTGAAGCCGCAGCCAGGATAAATTTAACGTGATCAGAATCAAAACAAACTAATTCATTAACTTTCGCGTTCAAACATAAAAATAATTCATAAAGGAGTTCGAAAATCAGATAAACTATAGATGACTCCATAATTCATATTGCGCGGCACAGTAAGACTGATTAATATACATTGACTTTTTCATTCTAATAAAATAAATGTTGGTTTATCGATATACTATAGGCTTAATTGATTTCAATAGCCTTTGAGTCTTGCCTTGTGTTTAAATTCTTAATCAATCGCAAACGGTCTTGTTACGGGTTATCGTGCTCTTTTGGTTCAAGGTTGTGAACTAATATCCTAGAGAATGGTAAGTTCCTGTGTTTCCTTTGTATAACGTATACACCAGGCCGACCAGTTAACAGAGGAACAGATTGCTGAGTTTAAAGAAGCATTTTCCTTGTTTGATAAAGATGGTGATGGTACAATCACCACTAAAGAATTAGGTACAGTCATGCGCTCTTTGGGGCAGAACCCTACAGAAGCTGAACTGCAAGATATGATCAATGAAGTAGATGCTGATGGTAAGGCCACATTAATTGAGTCACAACCAAATTAAGGTAATGGTACAATTGACTTCCCTGAGTTCTTAACAATGATGGCCAGAAAGATGAAGGATACAGACAGTGAAGAAGAGATTCGAGAGGCATTCCGCGTTTTTGACAAAGATGGAAATGGATTCATATCTGCTGCTGAACTCCGGTTAGTTTGCAACTCTTAAAACTTCATTAGTGGGAGCATGGTATTTTTTAAAATATAAAAATCTAAAGACGAATTTCGTTAGACAAAAAATCTACATTTTTCTGATATCTTTGTACACTGCTAAATTAAACTCGTTTTAGTCTACCCTACCTCCTTGAAAATTCTTGATTGTCTGGCACAGAACAACCGTTATATATGCTTCCTCCCGTATACTAAGCATGCTCTTCATGGTACTGATTTGTCAATTATGGGTTCCTAGGTGAGACTGCAGTTTATGGACAGTCTTTGAGTAATGCTAGAATGACCTTAAGATATCCACCTTGCTACGGTTAAGTATGGGACTTATACTAGTGTGAGGGATTAGGACTGGGATTTGAAGTTAAACATTAGGGTTAGGAATTCGATTTTATATTTCCATCACGAAGTGACATCACCTGTAATACTAAAATGGTATTTGGGAAAGTAAATAAATGAGTCCCTCGTCAAAATCTGAGATCTGTAATCTGACCAGTTCATAATTGTCACCATTAAAACAAAATAAGCCTACAGAACATAATGAATCCGTTGTATCTCATCACTTTCTCCTCATCTACACACAAGCTGTGTCTAATTATTTCAACTAAAAACAATCTCAAATTTAACCCATTATGTTCAAGTTATGTGTAGTGTTGAAGAAGCTAACATTCTAGGGGTGGGGTCCTTCTTTTAACTGCTTAGGGTAGTGAACCTAGAATGTTTGGGCGATTGTATTGCTCTGACCATACTTTCGGAAGTTAAGTGAGAAATTGGATTTGAGGTCAACTCACTCATATTAACTTGTTTGCAGCTAAAGAGAATGCAAAGAAATTAATGAGTTTGTCATATTTTCCGAATATTGTCGTTGGTCTATTTAAGTCAGTAGGGTTTCACAGCTTCTATTTTCGTTTGTGTTCATCACTGTCAACTTGGACCAAGGATCATAAATTCACACGGGGTAAAGTTGTGCTAAAGTCTGTCTAATTATGCCAGTGAAGTCCTTATTTGTCTATTCCAGTTTGGACGCTTGACTTAGTCGAGCATTGTAATATGATAGTTTTCCATGTTGTGTTCTGCTACTTCGTGTCGAGTAATGGAAGCCATTAGGAAGCGAAATCGGTGTTACAGTCAAGTTTGTATGGTTATTCAGTTAATCTTTCTTCCAAACTATTAAAAGTAGTATTCCTTCTGTTTTTATGGCTAACCATGCAAACATATTGACTTTGTAGCTACATGCGTCATATACTAAGTTGACACTAGCTGACATGTTTTTATGTTTTTACAATGGCAAGAGTGTCTAGGTAAGGTTCTAACAACGTATCGGTAAGTCACTATATCCCTCTAAAACCAAACTGTTTGGTTGTGAATTTTAGTTCCTAATTACATTAGCAAGCGTAAATTCAATAGCCTGTTGTTTTTGACACATCTTGTTCTAGTCATTATCGCGATGGTGTTGCTGGAGGCGATTACAGTCGTTTGCGGTACAAAATAAAAGTTTACCATTTCTACCTTCCAGGGAGATAATAAGGGTCTTTGTTACAAATCTTATGACAAGGATTGGCTATGATGAAATACTTTGAGTAATTATTTGAAATGTAGTTGTAATCCGTCAAGCTGAGTTACTTTGGTGTTTTTCCACTGTCAGTACAAATCTATTTATCGATTCCTCAGTATTATATCCTCTAATAAACTATTAAGCTCTTGTTTCTATGTGATTACCTGTAGACCTGTTGTTAGCTGCTATTTTTTGAACATCGACAGCATCGTGGTGGTGTGGTGTACCAGATGAAATTATCCACAAGCGGATAGTTTCAACTTCTCGTTCCTTTCGTTGACTGTATTCAAGGCAGAATGGCCCAACATTTCTCAGAGTTTTACACAGCAACTAGTCTTCAAAGCCATTTCACAAAAGGTCTTGTGACATTTTTCAATTAGAAATAGCTAAATAGAATAGAACCGAAGTCCTAAGCTGCAGCACAGCATCTACACGGTGAAAATTTCAGTTCGTACAGTCCTTTTAAGGATGTCGATATTACTTACTGGTTACCCATGCCGTGAAATGATATTTCCGAAGGTGCCTGGAAAGGAAAACAGATTGTATAGTTTTCGTTATCTAAGCATAGCCACAGGGCCTCCGAAATACTTGATGCTGATCACGCGGCATTTTTGCAAAGGTCAACATTGTCTAACCCCTTGTAAAAAGCCAACATTATATATATATATATATATATATATATATATATATATATATATATATATATATATATATATATAATTAGAGCATGGCGTCGGTCCAACGTGCAATGCTAACCGGTGTTGGAGATGGTTGGAAGAAAGTTAGGGGTGGCCAAACAAACTAACTTCTAGTCTGATCCATGTTGGGAGATGCAGACTACTTAGTTGGGGTCCGCGTGACTATCGTAACCAATGGTTAGAGACTCTTGGTGACATGGCTCAGAATCCATCACAATGGCATCGGTGTATACACACTGTGTCTTCCCTTAAACTAAGAGATTAAGATCGCTTCATATCTTTCTACCAACTAATTCTTTCTTCCTGTACTATATCCTGATTGCAATCTTTCTATTATATATTACGACTGTTGAATTTACTTTTAAGAATCCGGTGTTCATCTTGTTGTGTTAATGAGGTACGGAAACTTGGACCAATTCCTAAATGTGCCTGATCCTACGTTGTAACTGACTGACTGACTGAATTAGAACATAGGTTGTAAGATAAAACTTTATTCTCAAGATTTGCGCGAACCAGAAGTATGAATACATTTTAACCCCGTTACCGGCCATCATCCGCATTACCACACAATGTTGACTGGGTCATGTAAATTTATTTATTTATTTATTTATTTGGACACATGAATATTGGTACAAGAGAGCGCCAATATATATGCGCCACACAAAACAATGAAAATTCGAGAGGAATACAAAGAAAGAAAAAAAAAACTAAGGAGCGCAACAAAAAAAGAGAGAACAATAACGAAGAGATTGGTGTAAGGTAATGTGCTAGTAATCAGGGAACGCAAAGGTACAATCGGAAGAAATCTTTCAGGTAAGGGAGACACAACCACTTTTTATGAAGAAAGTAAAAGAAGGTTACAGCAGGATCGCCACTGGCTTCTATTCTGAGCCATATCTGATAACGTCTCTAGCCACTGTGTAGCACCATCTCTCAGACCCCAACCAGGGAGTCGTGAAGGACCAACACAAGCCAGTCCTTTGCAGCTTTCTTTCATGCCACGACACCATGTCATGCACTGACCACCTCTCCGCTTCTTCCAACCAGTCCCAGAGTCGGCAAATAATGCACGACGTGGAATTCTCTGGGACGACATTCGGAGAACATGTCCAAGCCACCGAAGTCGGTGTTTCAAGATGGTGACACCAATTGAATTATCATCTCTGTGCCCGAACACACGATGCCGAACCTCTGCATTACTGACATGGTGTTGCCACTGAATGTCAGCAATCCTTCGGAGACAGCGATGATCGAACACAGAGAGTCGTCTAACGTCCTCAACTCGGAGAGGCCAGGTTTCACAAGCATAGAGCAAAACTGCTCTCACCGACGCGTTGTAGATCCGACCTTTTACAGCCAGACTAACATCACGAAGGCGCCAAAGGTGGCCCAGATTGGCATAAGCCGCTCTGGCTTTCACTATTCGTGCATTGATCTCATCACTCACACCCCCACCAGCACTTATGCAGCTACCCAGATACACGAACTTCTCAACTACGTCTATCTGCTCACCATCCAGGGTGAGTACAGGATTAGAATCCTGCCAGTCTTGTAGAAGTACTTTGCACTTCGAAGGTGCAAAGCACATACCATACCTACGGACACTGATTGCCAACTGATTAAGTGCGGATTGCATGCCTTGGGCATTATCGCACAGTAAGACAATATCGTCCGCATACTCAAGGTCGAGAAGTCTTTCTCCAGGCAACAGATCCACACCACCATTACTTACATTCATCAGAGCTGTTTCCAGAATGTCATCGATGGCAAAGTTGAAGAGGAATGGTGAGATTGGGCAACCCTGCCTAACCCCACTGCTCGAATGGAACAATGGAGAGAGGTGGTTGTATGCCCTCACTCTGCCTGAGGTGTTTGTTTATAGGGCCTTTAGGATGTTAATAAACTTCTCAGGCACACCCTTCTTCAATAGACAATCCCAGAGAACAGTCCTGTCCAACGAATCGAAGGCAGCCCTGATGTCAAGAAACACTACGATTGTTGGCCTTTGATAAGTATGGCGGTGTTCTAACATTTGGCGGAGGGTGAAGATATGATCAATACATCCTCGACCAGAACGAAACCCAGCCTGCTCCTCGCGAGTCAATCTTTCTCGGGTTTTGAACAACCTACGAAGTATGACGGAAGCCAATAGCTTGGACGCAATCGGAAGTAGACTTATCCCCCGATAGTTGTTACAGGAACGACGTGAACCCTTTTTAAAGATAGGGACAACTATCGACTCATTCCATGACGTTGGTACACTCTCTAGTTCCCAAACCTTTGTAAACAACGTCGTCAATTCCTTAGTCAAAAAGTCACCACCATCTTTAAAAAGAGCCGGAGGTAAGTCATCTGGGCCAGGTGATTTGTAACGCTTCAAGAGTTGGAGTTCCTTGCGGACTTCCTCCTCATTTGGTGGATCAGTCGTCACCGGCCATGGAGGGCAGGACAGTCTGACCGATGTTGCCGGAGCAGCAGGCCAGTTGAACTGCCCTTCGAAAAATTCTGCCCATCGTCCAAGACGTCGATGGATGTTAGTGATTGGCATCCCATCATCCTCGCAGATTGTTTCACTCACACCAGACTTCTTGCTGCCAGTGGCTCGGATGAGCTGGAAGAGCTTCCGGTAGTTACCAGATGCAGCTGCTGCTTCCAGCTCATTAGCACGCTTCGACCACCAGGCTTCTCGGTCCTTACGCAAGCTTTGCCCAATTTCCTTACGTAACATCCTTCGTTTATGGTCAAACTCACGGTCACCCGGAGTAGACCGACGGGCTTCAATGAGTTGTAAGGAACCAGAAGAAACCCAGTGCTTAAAAGCGGGACGTTTCGCAAACCCACAACTGACTGTTCCCGCCATTTTCATGGCGTCATGCAATTGCAACCAATGCTCATCTATACTTTTCGGTGGAGTGGTAGCTAGCCTAGAGGCTAGCTCGGTTCGATACTTACTTGCAACAGAAGTTGCAACCAGCTTGCTAACATCAATCCGTTGATGGCGTTCACTTCGTTGTCCACTGAAAAGTAAGGCAAGATTGGCGCAGACCAAGGCATGGTCAGAGTCCAGATAGGTACTCCAAAAGGAGCGGCAGTCTTGTACACAACCACGCCAGCGGTAGCTGATCGCGATGTGATCAATCTGAGTCCAGGCTTGAGATGCAGAGGGAGGACGCCAGGTGGCACATCGGCGATGACTGTGCCGAAAGTTAGTGCTAGCCAGAAACAGGTTGTGGTCTGTGCACAGTTGCAGTAGACGGTCCCCGTTATCTGACCTGCGACCAACGAGTCCCCATCGGCCACCTAAACGACTCTCTTCTGTGCCTAGACGCCCGACCTGAGCATTCAAGTCTCCGGCTAGTACTACAATATCTGTCGAACGCACTTTCTGGAGAAGAACAGATAACTGGTGGTAAAACTCATCCTTGATTGCATCCGGGCTGCAATCTGTCGGGGCATAGGCGGAGATGACGAAAAGACATCGTTTCTCACGCCGATTTCTTCTCACTTTGATGGAACTTTCTAATCTAACAGCACATAACCGACTGTTAATGGGGATCCAATCGACTAGTGCTGCCTCAGCTCTAGCGCTTAGTGCGACACCAACGCCAGCAAGACCAGACGAAGATGCCACAGGGTCCCCGGATAAGCGCACGTAAAACAAGCTTTTTGAAGTGACAGATGGAGAGCGAATTTGTAGTACTTCGCCAGAGTCTTGAATACGGGTCTCGGATAGACAACAAACATCAATATTAAGACTTTCCAAAGACATAGCCAGCCCTATCTGTTGACCAACCTGCATAAGTGTGCGAACGTTGAAGGCAGCCAGTTTGAATGGTGCACGTGGTTTCAGAAAAACTGCTTCAGTACTCATATTCGATGGTAACATACAACTTTCAACCGGACAGTGACTCGAGAACGTTTAGATACAGTCGGATTTCCACCAAAGACGAGCCGCTGTATAAGTATAAAAGAGGGTGAATAATGTGGGAAATAATAATAATAATAGTAACGACAATAATAGTAATAATAATAGTATTAATAATGACAATAATAGTAATGATAATTATTTGAATCGACTGATTGTTTTTCGGAGCGATAAAAGTAGTTGCCAAAGACATAGAGTTCATGTAAAACGACGCGGCGAATGAGTTTTTACTGTAGGCAAGTCAGTATGTGATACTTGTTAAGAATTACAAGGGTTTCACATATGACCCAGTTTGAACAGAGACATATAGTCAGTCTAAATGGAATTTTTTCCGACAGGCGTCTGTAGATGATCAGGTGAACATATTTCTTATTTATTTTATTTATTTATTTGGACACATGAATATTGGTACAAGAGAGCGCCAATATATATGCGCCACAGTGAATAATGTGGGAAATAATAATAATAATAATAACGACAATAATAGTAATAATAATAGTATTAATAATGACAATAATAGTAATGATAATTATTTGAATCGACTGATTGTTTTTCGGAGCGATAAAAGTAGTTGCCAAAGACATAGAGTTCATCGTTTGTGTGTGGGCTGTGATACTGCCTGGGTGCCCAAACTGAAGCAGGTGGTTTTCTTAGGGGGCCACTCCCCGAGCCTTTGACCTAAAGGTCTAACCCACAAGGCAGTGGAGCATCGTAAGGAGATGCAATCCCATGGTAGCCGGTGACCAAAGATTAGTTCATACGCCATTTGTTCCCGCAGGATACTGGAGCCCATGTGCACCATTGGTTTGTGATCCGGTTAAAGCGCCGGACATTCGCTTTTCGTCCTCTCATTTTCGTAGACAACACCCCCGCCACGCGAAGGCAATGAGTAGGACTTCCCTGGCAGAGGCTGTATACGCGCGGCCGTGTGAGAGTATTTCGAGAGGGAGAGCGGACTCACCCCACTCTCGGCCGTACCAGGGCATTCGGGGGCATATTTCTGGATTAAATCAATGAGTACTGGATTTTAAGTGACTAAATGACCTAACGTGAACAGTGTGACGTTATGTCCATCAACCAATGACCACGCAAATAACAGAATCGACTGAACTTTTACTCAGTGATATAGATGACAATTGTTCAAAAGTAAGTAGTCATATGACGACAGGTTTTGGTAGTTTCAGAAATTCTGTCCAAAATTTCTTTGTAATGAGATTAATCCTGGTTTATTGTTTGCTCTGTACATATATTTTGCTGCTGAAACATACCTACGGTTCCAAACCGATAGAATGGCGTTGTAAATTTTATGTGATAGTCTTATCCTTTGCTACTTCACAAACTAGACAATCCTCGTATGTTGTTTGGTCACGGGCTTCATGCTCCCTTTAATGTCTAGTTAGTCCTCTCTGGGTTGTTTGCAAGCAATTATTTTGCGCCCAGTAAGGCTAATAACTGTTTGGAGTCTGTGGGTTTGTTGTGATCAATGGTTAAAGATGTTGAGTTCATGATTTAAAATTAGTCTCAATGGTACATATACATTAGCTCTTTGTTTTTGTTTAGATCATGAGTTTCAAAGTTTCTCTGTACCTTTTATTCCACCGATTAATTCCCTCCAACTATGTTCTGTATGTCTATCTCTGACGCCACGACTTTTATATTCATTTCGTCCTAATGTTTTTCACTCAGTGACACTTCCCAGTCCTAAAGCAACCTAAGTGTCATGGGTAATCTTCGGCACTGCGACATTATAATGATTGTAAAGCACAGTGTACGGCTACTCAGTGTACCCTACTTTGTACTACACTGACATTGAATCGGAACAACTAAGAATTTCCTTGACGCGAAAGCCACTTTTTAGCGTTACATTCGACAGCTTAATCGTGTCAGTTAGAATTTATTGACTATTTTATATACAGCAAAATCACTTTGAAATGGGTATCCTTGATATATTATATATCATATCTCGTAGGCTACACCATCAATCGCTGTTCACCGCTGTTCAGATAAGTTGGGTAAAATAAGTGACCAGTCTAATAACTCATTGTAAACTAAGTGATAGTTTTGCTGGCTTGATGCCTGTAGGTCCAAATCCCTTGCGTAAAGTTCCATAGTTAACTCTACTATCATCATAGGCATCTCATGATCAAGGCTATATGTGATCCTTCAGTTGTTACAACAAGTTACTAAGTTAATCAGCTCTCTTGATAGGTACTTCATCTGGATTCCTAAATATCATTTCTATTTGCCTGTTTATTTTTCCGTGATATCATGCTATTTCGTCTTACACATCGTTTGGCGTCCATAACGTAACAAGTTTGTATTGAAATAATCCACTCAGAGGGAACTCAGGAGAACATTTACACAAAATTTATTTTCCTTGTTTGATTATGATAGATCTATACTGTTATCCTATGTTCTCAGCTTTAATATATAATGGTACAAATTCCAGTTTAATATGTTTAACTTGTTAATACTTGAAATCTACATAAGGGAACACTTCTCAATAATGATTAGCTACTATGCATCTTTATCACTATACTGATTTGATCAGTTTTCTTTCTGTGATATCTTTTCTCACATCGTAATACACTTGAGGCATCGATTTCAATTCGACTATCTTTTACTTCTCTAATGAACACGCGAGCAGACACATACCAACCTCGCCGTAATGATTTTGTTCGAATTTGACTAATTATCTGTTAAGTTTTTAGCGGGAACTCTTGAGTACATTAAGTGATTAACAAAATATTTGAAAGGTTTAAAAACAGGTGACCTAAAGAGTTTTGGAGTTAATTTCCACTACACCCCAACTATTCTCAGTCCGTGGCGTAAACCACATCTATGTGTATTTATTATATGCAACAATAACTAAACAGATCCTGGAAAAAGGCAAAGTATTACGGAATAAAACTCTGCATCCCGAAGAGAATATCAAGTCTCTATAATTAAGCAGAAATTTTTTACTGTTTCAAATAATTTTACGAAAACTTTTATATGTAGAATATCTACTGAAAATGCTAACCCTATTGTGTGCCCTTATGTATTTTCCACAGACATGTAATGACCAACTTGGGCGAAAAGTTAACTGATGATGAGGTTGATGAAATGATACGCGAAGCTGATATAGATGGTGATGGCCAAGTAAATTATGAAGGTAAATTCAGTATAACTTGTCTTTTTTTAAGTTAGTGGTCGGATTCTTGTAGATTTAGTTGTTTTTACGTCTTAATGTAGTTATTTGGTATTGTTAGTAGTTTGTTTATGTTTCACGTATTTCATAGTTGTTTATTTATGTTGTGCATCATATATATATTTATATACATATCTATATATATTTGTTGTTAAAATTTTGCAATTTCATTGTTGTCTTTTTTACTCTATACATCTGCGGTGCGTTTTCATGTTCACCTCATCCGACTTATCTGACGGTATTCGCATGTGATGCCTTTGTCCTATCTGCTATCATCCCAAAATTTATCTACTTCTGTGAACTACATCAACAGAATTCGTGAAAATGATGACAGCGAAATGAGAATACTAAAATAATACATCAAAACTAAACATTCTCATCACACTTTCAGATGAATGCTCATTTTGAGCAAAGAATGTCTGTAAAGCAATTTTGTGATTGGCGTGTTGAGTCGCCCATTGTATACGCATGTTTTGTTTACAAACTACGTAACTGATTATACTGTTTGAGTTTTTAATGCTCTGGGCTATTTTTTGTCTGTTTTTCCCCAGAAAATTCAAAATGTATGCCCCCACTTACTTAAAACAACAATAAAGCCCTTACTGCTCACTTTTTGCATATATATATATAAGCCTTATTTCTTTAGGCTTTCTATGTGATGTTGAATTAACCTATGTTAAGATTTTTCCGTAGACAGTAATTATTGTTTGTGCTATACGTTTCACGATTCTTTCGTTCGCTTGGGATATTATGTAGGTCTATAAAGTTTCCAAATCAACCACCTAAAAATTTTTATGTCGAATATAGAAATTTTGATTCGTATTTTTCATTTTCCGATAAAGCTAGAGTAGTAATTATTGTAGTTTAAAAAGGTAGTAGAATGAAAGTCTTTCGTGTTATGTGCCACATCGTTTCACAGGAAGATTTAAGGGTCTTTCGATGATTCAAGTTGAGCGTTAACGGTTTATTCTTGTAGTGACAATAATTCACACTACCTAGGTCGGCTTAACTTTAGTATGCAATGTTATTTTTACCTATTTAAGTACAAAGTAATTTGAGAAATCCCTTCCTGTCACACTATATTATCTCATCCCTCGTTTTTTTACAAATGATAATGCATGCATATGTCGTATTTGTTTATTTTTCCGAGTATAATTCGTTGATTGGTTTACCTATTTTGTTTGGGAACAATGTAGTACGTGGTAGTTTTGTGGTAGATGTCAACTTTGGGGATATTCTCTGTTATAATTGCCTATTCCTATTTTCAGAATTTGTTACAATGATGACGACAAAGTAACCCGAACTAGTTTATACAAAACATTATCATTCCTGGTATCCACTAGAAGAAGTGAATTACCGTCGCCAAAAAACTTCGTACACGTTAAGACACTTGTTGACAGTGACTTGTAGGAAAGCCTGATTTATATATATAAATATATACATATGTATACGCATGTCATCTTGTCATTTTCACACGTTTCCTTGATTAACTTTACCCCTCCACACACATACGTTTCCTCGCTTTACCATCTCACGAGGTAATTGTTCACGTTCATTCTTTACGTCTTACATTATTACGATTTATTCTTTTAAACATCTTTAGTTATTTTACTCATCAGATGTTTGTGGTGAGAATGGTTTTCCTTTTTTCCTCTTAAATTTTACTTTCCCTTGCTCTTTGCATTCCAATGATTGAGTTTGTTACTGTGCCATGACGTTATTGGTGTATATGCATACTTCTTTGTTTTTCTATCCCCTAAAAGAAACTGTACTATTTTCCTCTTAATATAATGTCTGATTATTGCATTAATGAAAAAGAATGAATAACATTTTAACTGTTGAAATGTGCACTATAATCCTTCCTGAAATAAGTCCATTAATGAAATCAGTTTGCTCACTTACATCTTTCTTCTCTAAAATCCTAATATTTGTTTCACCATTAAAAGGTTTTTTAAATTGGTTTATCTATTCCTGGGAGCTAAGTAGTAATTTTATTAGTGAATGAAACTCAGTCAGTCAGTCAGCTACAACGTAGGACCAGGCACATGTATGCATCGGCCCAGGTTGCCATACCTCATTAGCACAGCAAGATGAACACCGGATTCATAGGAGTGGTTAGGTCAAAGGTGGTAATATATAGGAGAAAGATTGCAATAAGGATATAGTATAGGAAGAAAGAATGAAACTTAAAGCAGTTAACAAATAATTTTGTCAAAGCTTTTCCAAATAGTTCATTTCAATTGTCACATCTCATCAGGTAGGTCTCATTATCAGGCTAAAAATGTTGTCACGTTAATGCTTTGCTGAAAACCCATTAATTCAGTAGATAATAATCGCTAAACAGTCAGTTGAATAGATGTTATTCGAAGCTATTGTGTTGTTAAATGAGGCTATGTCTACTTAGCGCGATTCACGCGAATTATTTTCATTGAATCAGGTTTATATGTTCCTCTTTAAAATATAACTGGTAGTTACAATGCTTTAATTCTGTTTCAAGCGGTCACCACTACCACAGCTTCACATGTAGGATCACGTGTCCCAATTGATAAGTATTACATAAAATCACATCTCGATCTAAATTTGGTTTACGATTTTAGAGTAATCAGTAACTGTTGATGAGTTTTTGATTGTTAACATAGGGTTATATTTGTTTGTTCCATAAATTTCTACTGTGGACAGTTTCTGTCCAATATTTAGTAACATGACTATTTCTAGTCAGTTTTAGCATGGTTGTTTGGTATTGCATGTTCACTTTGCTTCGTGGACCTTGTTTTACATCATTGCCAGTTGTAACAGTTTTCCCGTTTGTTTTCTAATATATACGCAGTGTCAAAAGCTTATTTTAACCAGAGTAGTTTCTGTAAAAGAAAATTGAAAGATATCCACTTATTAAATTTATCATGAAGGTAACAATGATTTAACGACTAAGTTGCTTTATATCAGGAAATAATCACATAAAGGTTCAAATCGCTATGCATTAATTGTAAATGGCTTGAGGGGACGTCGATGAAATCTAGTCGTGTAATTTAATGTGAACAGGGATTTCGATTTACTCACTTTTGAGGTACTCGTGCTTCTGTCTTTGAATATTGTTCGCAGAAAGTCAAAGTGTTTTTTCTTAAATAATAAATTAAGCTTTTTAAACCGAAATTGTCTAATATTTCTTATGCGTACTCAAAGGTACTATTTTTGTGCAATAAATATACTTAATAACCAATCGTCGATCTATTCATTTTTATGTATTGTACTGTATAACGTCAATACAATGCATTGCATTACTTAGACTTCTTCGTTAAAACTACAAATCTCATGTTTCTATTAACCTTTTTAATGATGTGGTGTTAAGGTAATCTGTTAGCATAAGTATTTCCACATCTCATTTTTGAAAACTTAAACTTGTTCATCATAGCGATATGGGATAGTTAATCGCGTCTAATATTCCATCGGCTCCAAAAATAAGATTTCTTAGGATTTAAAGTGTTTAGTTTAGTGTAAATATATTAAGGTATGTGATCCAAAAGTGTTGACAGTCCGTTAGATCAGTATGTTGTAATTAGTTTGTGCCTATTTTAACAACTTCCTAGGTCAATCGGTTGCTGCCATATTGAGATTTTGTTGCTGTTTTAGTGATTCATTAAGATCCCATTCCGTTGATTTCATTTTGATATGGGCACCAGAAAATTAAATTTAGGTTGCAAATGAGTCACGGAGTAAATCAATTGAATATTTAGTACGATGTATTTTAATATAGTAATTTTCCACTTGTCTGTACTATAGGTGTCGTTCGTTTCCTATGATTATATTTTGTCAGATCGCTTGGTCTGTTTCGAGAAGAAGACTACCATTAACACAGCAGTTACTTTTTTGACGCTATAGTTCCGTTTTGTGTTATCATGCGTAATTAATATTTAACTGTTTATAAGGTACATATATCTCTGTGATGTGGATCGCGATGTATCTTGTTTAAATTGTGAATTACAAAAAGCTATTACTATCTAGAGGGGTACGTGAGTTCTACAGCATTAAGAACTTGCTAACGAGTATCTTTCACCAAACAATCACCTTTAGGTTTTGTTCAACATTTGTATAAAAATTATACGTTTCCCCCTTCTATTCATCACTTACCAGTGGCTAAGAGATTACTAATGCTTTATTGACGGAGTTTGTGTACTTAAGGTGCTTTTTTGTTCTAGCAGCGATAAACATCTCTAGGTTTGGCGGGAGGTATGTATTTCAGACGTAAAGATTACTGCTCTCAACAACGTTGACGGTCAAAATTAATTCAAATAACACCTTAGACAGCATCATTAGTGATAGTGGATTAAGAATTAACTTTACTAATATCTGTATTCACATATGTTGTAAAATATGCTACGGATAAATTAGGGCTTCAAATGAGTACATACTGTTCAAAGTTGCTATGCTTCGGACCAGCGTTATTAAAAGAGATAATGCCAATCTCATCACTGGCAAGAAATTAAAAGGTATATGTAGAAGTTTGTAAGAACGCTACGTCTTTCGTGCCGTCCGATCCAAAGTAGTCATAGTCAGTTACAGTAACTAGGCGAGCTGTATGGATCGATTTGTTAATCACTTCGTGGAACAGTGTTAGTTGCGTTAAAATAATACACTAGCTAACCTTGCACAGTAAGATGACCTACCGAGCACGCGTATTTTTTATTGTGATCACATCTGCGTACTCGAGTTCACAGCTTTACCACCTAAATTAACAGACTACTTTTGCAAGTGGTATCGATTTATTGAGTCTAAATGACATGAATATGGCGAAAACGGTGAAAGATTATAACATAGCTTGAGTTCACGTGCTGAGACTACTCGTAGCAGTTTTCCTCAACTAACCAACTAATTTAACTGCTTGACTAGTGTATCGTAATGACAACAGTCGATGTACACTATAACAACAATCTTAGTTTCTCAAGATTCCACTGTAACATTATTGATGGTTTGAGTTAGCGTTCTGGCGAGGAACCAAGAGGTAATTGCAGCGTTTTGCTAATGGGTAAATGAAAAGCAGGAACGTCCGAATATTTCCATTTTTCTTCCCTGGGACAATACGCATCATATTACTATGAGAATTCGTGTATCAAGAAACCTGTAAAGTAGTTAATATCACTCGTGGTTAGAGAAAAGATTTCTTATCATTACAGTACCACTCATGTGATTTCGAATCAATAAGTCTCATTATATGATGTCATCTGATTTATTAATTTCGAATTAATTAAGTTTCAAAGAGCTAACAGTTGCACTACATTTAAAACAAATGTGGAATGTACGAATGGTTTAGATAAGAAAAATAAATTACTAAAGGAGGATGAATTGACTTATTGAGAGAAAAGAACAGAACTGTTAAAAAACTAAATACTTGTTTGATCGTTGTGAAAAATTCATTGTTAGTATTATTCCTAACTGAAATTATGTAGAATTCGCGTGTACCCTAAGAGCTACGTAATGGGTCTATTGAGCTGGTATTCTGTTTTCTACCAATAAACAATATTTACCAAACTAACCATTATTTTTGTCCAGTCGTACTTTCTTTGTCTTCAGTTATTGTGGTTGGTCCTGTATTAGCGTTTTCAGGATCCCCATTATGAAACAGATTATCGCGAATAGATTATCGGGTTTGTTAAAAGGAAAGTTATCGCATACTATACTCTTGTCCGGTTGGACTCGTAGATATGGGCTTTAACTAAGGGCAGATCAAATGTGATGTTGGTTAGGCTTTTCTGAATAATATAAGCGTATTTATGGATTTTAGTTTTACAAGGCAATAGTTACCGCTTGTCAGTCAGGAACACCCACTCAGGTAAACTCGAATTTAAGTGGTTCTTTCACGTTGTACATCGAAGATGGGAGTGAAATATTTAGTTTTTTCTATCATGCAGCTGTAATAATCAACGACGTTCTAGAATACAGTGAATTCGAAAATTTTCCAAGTTCAGTCATCATACTTCTGGGCTATTAATTTCCTCGATATTCCAGGTCGCTTGGTGAAATGACCTGAGACGCAATAGATTGGATTTTATATCTATCTAAGTTTGGGGCCCCCAAATGCCCTGGTGCGGCTAAGGGCGGGAAAGGTGCGCTCTCACATAGCCACGCGTATACAGCCACTGCCAGAGAAGTCCTACTCAATGATTCATCGGGGATGTTTTTCACAAAATTAAAAGGAAGGAAAACAGATTTCCGCCACTTTAACCAGGTCGGTGGATATGAGGGATCCACCTAGGTGAGTTGGAAAACCCTGGTTCCAAACCAATTGGTGTACATTAGCTCCAT